ATGCACTACATCAATCAAGACGCTAGATGCTCTTCAGGACACTAGAAAGACACTCCTCAATCAATGTATACTGTAAGCGACTAAATTTTCCATTCTACTTTAGTCACTTAACCACACCTCCAACCACTTGGAGGAGTCTCACTCACAACCTCCATAAATCCTATTTTAGACTTGGGCTTACTAGCCCCGAGAATGGCGTCCCCGCCACTCAACCTTTGCACTTGATCCAAGTGCTCTACGTGTCCAATCCCATGACCGACACCCCAAGGTACCACTGACATATCATCCCGTTATGCTAAGGCCATGCCCCTTTACCTTGGTCACACCGGTGGTCTAACACCACCTGCATCACAGACCCATCTCTCAAGGACTAGGCCATCCGTCCATGAGTGATCATTCCTGATCCACTCCTTAGCATCCTTAGGATGCCCATAGACATGGGGAATAGCCTTCCCAATATCCCTTTTCCGGTCTTCACCAAGTCCCTTTCTGCCCATGGCCGTGTTCGCCAACATTGCCACTGGATCGAGGCCCACAGGCCCAACCACTAAGTCCCACGGTCCTCTAGGACTTCCTCACCACTCGACTGTATCCTTGGTCACTACACCAGAGGACTACTCCTCTTCCTTTCCACAGTCTGGGCCTTTGGGACAACATTTCAGAACACCGTGGCCCTACGCGGGCCTCATGGGTACTCTCCCCGCCTTTTGCCTTTGGGTGCTCTAGCCATGGGCTTAGAGCAAGGTTCCGTTGAGCCACACTAGGTATCTAAGTAGGTAGTGCCACCCACACTTGGACTAGGAGCATCAGACAGTCGATCTCCCGGGGGAATTAGAGCCGGCTCTTGAACACTTCACCAAGCTACCCCGCTTGTCGGTCCGTATTCACTCCAGTCTTAGACTTCCCAATGGTCAGTTCATCACCCAACACTGGGTATGGCCTTCCTGGGCCAAACTGGCCTTTCCTAGGCCAAACTGGCCCTTCTTGGCCAAACTGGCTCCACTGGGCTCCAACCCCACACTCTCCCTATTCCCTATTATACTTTTGGAACCCCCCGTAGCCCCCAGCCCCCCCCCCCCCCCACCCGGTTGGGGGACGATTGCTTTGGGCTTGCCTGTATTAGTAATCGGACTCGGATTCAGACTCGAACTCGGACTCGGACTCGGTCTCAGCCCCGGTTTCGGACTCGGACTCGATCTCGGTCTCGGTCTCAGTCTCACTCTTGGTTCCATCTCGGACTCCATCTCGGGTTCCATCTCGGACTCCATCTCAGGTCCATCTCGGACTCCATCTCGAACTCCATCTCTGGTCCATCTCGGACTCCATCTCGGACTCCATCTCGAACTCCATCTCGGACTCCATCTTGAGTCCATCTCGGACTCCACTTTGGGTCCATCTCGGACTCCATCTCGGACTCCATCTTGAGTCCATCTCGGACTCCATCTTGAGTCCATCTCGGACTCCACTTTGGGTCCATCTCAGACTCCATCTCGGACTCCACCTCGGGTCCATCTCGGACTCCATCTTGGACACTTCCACGTGTCATGTATTGGTCCTTTTGGGTCCCTTTTTGGAGTCTCGCTTATTGCTCGCTTCATGCTCGTTCCTTGAGCACTCCGTTGGGAGTTCCACTCCCACTCTCAACCTCTCAAGTCGGAGCCTTTTGGTCCAAACGTGTTACGTTCGTTTGGCTTTTGCTTCGGCCACTACCACGTGGCACCCTTTCGGCTCCACTTTGGGGCTTAGGGATTTGTGTCTCACATATACCTCTCAATCTCCCTATGTGCTACTTTTCCATCTCCCCATCTCTTGCTTCTAGGTCACCAGCAACTTGCATCTCACGACTAGAATGATCAATTTGGTAACAAACTGATCTTCATCAAATTTTAGGTTTTTTTCTTTTTTCTTGTTGTTCCCTTAAGATCGTTTTAGTGACAAACCAATCTTCCCAATATTCTCTCGATCGCATTCTATCTTCGCAAACCACTGTCAAGTAGTTCCTCAAAACATTAGAAGGAATGCAGCTACTCCTTTTCTTTTTTTTCTTTTTTTCTCTTGGTGCTGGAAGATTGGTTTGACAATAAATTGATTTTCCCACCATAAAAAGGGCTACTCCTTTTCTTTCTTTTTTTTGTTCCCTTGGTACTGGAAGATTGGTTCGGCAGCAAACCAATCTTCCCAACACCAAGGAAATCACTCCTATTTTTCTTCAAAACGTTTTTTAATGTTTACCTAAGTTTTTGTTCTTTTTATGCAGACATATAAATCATGCCACAACAAAAGAAGCATGCCAGTCAACCTCAATGGACCCGTTCTCTAGGAAAATGACTAGATTGTTGTGTTAGATTCACTAGGGACACTTCACAAGTTCAAGAAGCTGCTTCAGAGGAAGACTATGGTGGGAGTAGTGGTGTCTAGATCCAAGCATTTGTTGATCCTGATCCAGGTGTCAGCATGCAAGAGCCAAATGGTTTCAAATGCAAAACCTATTTATAGCATAGGAGAAGCTGGTGGTGGTGGTGGAAATGAGGTACCTAATGCCATAGGTGGTGGGGAAGATCTTGGTGGCAAAAATGAGGCATTTGGTGCCATAGGTGGTGGGGAAGATCTTGGTGGTGGAAATGGTGGACATGCTGCTGCTGCTGAAGGTCACATAAATAAGGTGGTAATTATGCTAGAGGCTGAACCAAAGTGGTAACTTGGTTTGCCTAAGTCCTTTTTTTCTTAGATTCTTACTCATAAGCAAGCTTTCATAGATCCTCATGCTCGCAAGGAGGCTTGCATGGAACCTCCACCTCCTCACTTGGAACCAGTAAGTCACATGGAGCCTCCACCTCATGACTATCACATGGCACTTCCACCTCCTCGCTTGTAACCACTACATAGTAAAGAGCATTCACCTTGCTAACTAGAGCATCCTCCTTATCATGTGGAGCACTGGGGGAGCCTCAACTAAAGCCTTGTTGTTTACCTCATGTGAAATATCCAACATACCTCGTCACATGAAGCATGCACATGTGAGCTTGGGTGTCCACAAGGAGGCTCAAGGGCCTCTTCCACCACCATGCCACATGGGGCCTCCTCCACCATCACCTTGTGCTTGCATAAAATGTCTTCCTCCATAACATTATGAGGAGGCCACCACCTCACATTTGTTACCAATCTCATATTCAACCATAAACTCACATTTATCCACCACCTTATGCTGTGCATTGTAAAATTGTATTAGAGGGTTTGCAACAGTAAAAAGAAGCAAAGGATATCTACTAGTATTCAATGCAAAACTTACATGTCATAGATGATTATCACACCATCTGTAGTGATATAAACTCCATTTGGTGTGACATCTTGCACTTGCAGAGTTGTTTCCTTTGCATTCTTGAGATCCAGCATCGCTTCTTCTACAATCTCCATGGCAGTGGGATGCTCTTCTACCACTCACTCTTCACCTTCCTCTATAGCATCATCCTTCACTTGTGCTATTGGCTCCATGACTTGCAATGGAAGGGGGTTGCATAAAACAACCCCCCACATGCCACACATCTGCTTGCTATGTCAAGAGAAAAGAAGATGACATGTCTCCAATCTTGACCTTGCACCTCACCAAGTACTGCTGCCAAGGTATGCCTGAGAATTCCTGGCACCCAATTTAATAGAGCATGAATCTTTTTATTGGAAAGAAAAATAAAACACACAAAAGCATAAATATATGGAGATATATAAAAAATGCATAAACATACTAGTATCCCAGCATGCAAACTCTACCATCCCGCTATCCTTACTTAGCATAGCAATGCCTTAATTCCTGACACTCTGCAAAAAAAATGAGATGAATAACTATGTATCTCAAAATTCAAAACATACCAGTTGGGGGCTCACTTGGACATATGTCTACATCAGTGAGATGATATAAGTCTTTGGGCCCAGAAAATTAGTAAATTGCTACATTGTAACTATGTACCCAAGTGCATGTTGTTAAAACTATAGGTTCCTCAGCCATGGAAAGAAGAATCTAGAATGAAAAATGCACATGCATTGGAGAGGAATAAGTTTAAATCAGTTCCTTACTTACGTGAAAGTGTTGTACTATAACACAATCACTGCAATAACCATTAAGTTTAATCCAAGAACTAAAAATCCAAAAAAAAAGACTGATTTGCAATGTGACAAACATGTAAACAACTAATTTTTCCATTCTACTTTAGTCACTTAATCACATTTTTTACCACTTTGAGGTGTCTTACTCACAACTTCCATAAATCATATTCCTGACTTAAGGATATATTAACCCTATAAATGACATCTATGCCATTCAGCCTTTGCACTTGGTCCAAGTGCTCCACAATCAATATATCACAAATCTACACTTACAAGAATGAGAAAGAAATCCTCACTAGATTTATAAATATGATGTAGGGATGATTTGGCATGATGCCTATGTGGCATGTATGCATACCCCATGACAAAAATATTATACACAATCACATTTCAATTACGACAATTGTTTTGCATGCAACTCAAAACAAAAAATATAAATCCGGACATGTAAAACTATATAATGCTCCCATGCGCAATCATATATTTATTACCATAAATGGGACAACTAATCCTTATTTTTGAGAACTTATAAAAAGTTAGAATTACCTTAAAAAACTACAACAGGACATTTAAAAGAAATAAGACAGTTTGAAAATAATTCAAAAGGGAGCATCAATGATGGTGATGGGCATTTGGATCTAGATCTTGGAGGTTGATGCTATTTGGATCCAGATCAAGATCTTTGGATTGTACTCTCATGCATCAATATAAAATTTCACATGAAAAGGATCTTCCAGTGGCACCTCCATCAAAAAGAGTTTGCATGTCTCAGCCATTAACTTGTGAATGCATAAGCTTTTTTTCTTCTTTTGTGGACTGTCTTGGATCAAATTATCCCAAGAAATCTAGTACGCAGACTTTTGGTGGTTAGAAGCAAAAACTTTTGAGGCGTGACATTAAATTCACCTTTTTGACTGGGCACGGGAGGGAGCAGCACCAGCTTCTTCGAGTCTCTTCCATGTCTTGTCTCGCTTCTCCTGTGCGTCTTTGGCCTTGTCTTCGTCGTCTACATACTCGTGCTGGCACGACTGGAACAGCTCCGTGTCCATCTCCAGGAACATCTTCCGGACGTTCATGGTGAGGCCGTGCACGGGTTGGCTCCAGTGGCTTCTCACGTTCTTCTCTAGAGCTGGGAAAAGGAGGGGGAGGATGACGTGCCTGAACTGCGTTACCAGGCTCACAATGTGGTCGTTGTTCCAAAGGAAGAGCGCGCGTTCGGCCACCTGCGATCAGCAGAGTGGAGCCGCGGTTGAGAAATCGGGAAGCACCGAGTAGCGCTACTACCTGAAAGTGCTGGCTGTTGATGGAATGATTCAGCTGCTTGAACAGAGGAACCATCATCTCCGCAAACTCCTCCGGCTGGCAGGCGTCCAGTATCTCCTCCAACTCGTTGAGAAACAATACCTCCTTCTGGCTGTTGGTTACTGGCCAGTACCTGAGGAGCCCCTGGATGACTAGCGCCGAGAGCTTGGGGTCCTTCTCCACAAACTGTGACACGCAGTAGGCAAGCTGCTGGTAATACAATGGCAGGCCCCTGGGCTTGTGCAGTGGAATCAAGGCTCGCACCAGGAACGTCTTATGCTCCTCCTTGAGCGGCAGAGCAAAGCCATTGATGATGCTCCCCAGGATCTCCAGCAGCTCGGCAATGCCGTTGTGCTTCTCCGTCTCGTAGATGAACTGGTAAAAGATGTTGTTGACGGCCTTCCTGATGAAGGAGCGGTGGAGCATAAACTTGCCATAGATCCTGTGCATTATAGTCTTCAAGTACTCCCTCTCCCGTGGGTCCTCTGAGTCGAAGAGATCCAGCAGCCGAAGTAGAAACTGCTGGTCGATATACTTGGAGGCCACCTTGGCCTCCACGTCTGCCGACACCACGAAGCGGAGCAGTAGCTCGTAAACCGCCTGGAGGTGAGGCCAGGAGGGCTCCAGTGAGGGCTCCTCGTCTTCGGCCGCGTCCAGCATGCCTCCGGTGGAAGCCCCGGAGCTGTGGTAGGGCGCCAGCGGCAGGGCCCGGAAGATGTTGGCCGCCACCATCTTGACAATGTCGTCGAACACCGCCTCGGACAGCTTGGTGGTGCCTGCTGTAAGGTAGTCCACCAGCTCCAGCAGGGTCTGGCGCTTCACCTCCTTGTCCCGGACGTTCCTGGTGGGCTCGTTGAAGTCGAAGAGTGTGCAGCAGAAGGCGAGCTTCTTGATGAACAGGTTCTGCCTCTCGGATGCCGGCACGTCCCGGAAGGATGGCAGCGCCTCCACATTCAGCCTGATGCTCTTGGAGTGAGCTGCCCGCGAGGAAGATGAGTGGCGCGCTGGCACCGATGAAGAAAGGTTGGAGACGAGGAGTGAGTTGCGGGGCAGCGCGCTGCTGCTGCTAGACCTTGAGCTCGGCCCCTGCATGGCCCGGACGGTGCCGGGCGATGACAAGGAGGGAGAGGAGGTGGATGATCCGCCGCTACCATCTCCACCACCGTAGCCACCAACGTCACCAAATTCTCTGGATGACTTCCGAGGCATTTCTAGTGCTGCTAGTGGGCCACTCGATCATGATGTCTTCGCCATCTCAAGAATCCAAAACTCTGGATGCGCCACCACCAGGCACGCATATGGGGAGGGATTTGACAAACCGGAACACATCAAGCACTGCTAGCAGCAAGAAATGAGCAAGGGCAAGGAGAGGTGCTCACCCATTCTGGTGTCCCAGCCGCCCGCGCTTCCTTACAGCCTCCAAGAACCCTAATCTAGACGGCTTGGACACGTTGGCGGGAATATTAGTCATCGATACATTTAAAAAGGTTACAACACATCAACAGACTCTCTCAGTTGAAGGCGTCCTCCCTATCGCCTTCTACGTGGTCAGCCTCCTCCAGGTTGCTAAATTCCAAAAAGTGCGTCGGCCTGTGGTCCTCGTGGTAGTACTCGCGGGGATTGGCCAGCTTAACGCCATACTTCATCCCGGTCGAGTGCTTGACGCCCATGAAGTTGTAGTTCCATGGCCCATTATCGGGAACCTGCGAGTAGAACGGGCCCCCGTTAGTTGCTCTGCCACTCCACAACAAGACGAAACAACTATCATCTTACCATGTAAAAGCCCAAGAAGCGGTCGCTCAAGAGCATCTGGACCTTCTCGTAATGTGTGGGAAGGTACCCATGGGGATTGCTGCCAGTGTCTTTGTTGGCACGGCCCCACTCGTAGCCAGTCGGGGTGAGCTTGTAAGCCGTCAAGGAGCACGAGCCGGGCGTAAAACTGCAAGTCAATATGATACACTTCTCCCCTTCCCACTGCTTGTTGTTCTCCAAGATCTTGGCATGAGAAGTAACGTCCTGCGAGCAGTCATTCCCATCCGGTTAACAACATCAGTGGAAAGATTGACAAACAAACGGTACCTGTGGAGACAACTGTGGCAACTCGTTGGGTTGGGTGTGTATCCATCCAAGAGGTTCCAAGTCGTTGAGGTAGTCGTGCTCCGGAAGAGCCGCAGGCAAATGAACCTGCTGGTGCGTCCCCCACTGTGGCGGCATTACAATGCAGCGAATCTCCTTCACCTGAGGATTATCAGGTGGGCTCAGGCCGTATAGGTATCCTGCAATCTGCGTCCGCAAGTCGGCGACACATATGAAAGTCTTGAGGACGTTCTTGGGCATGATATACGTGTACCCAGCCTCCTGCGGAACGAAATCGACGTCACAGCCAGCCAAAAAAAGAAGCTCGTGCGCTCACCTTAATGTCGTCCGAGTTTACGTATATATGATTGACGCGGAGATAGAGATTGGTCGCCGATATTGCTCGTACACGCCAATCTGTCTTGGAACCAAAAGCTTGCTGTTCGTAGGGACTGGTAGTGGTGACGATAAGCTCATCACCATGAACATTCGTGGTTCTAGTCGTAACAGCAGTAAGCTGGCTCGCTTCCTTGGCCTGCACAAAATAGAAAAGGCACGGTAAGTCCATAAACCTCTTCAGGGTGTAATGACAACACACCTGCTTCTCAATCTCAGCGATCTGCTGCCGTTGTTGCGAAGGTGGAGTGATCTCGGCACCAAGAATAATGTCTCGAATCTCCGACTGCGTCAATGCAGAAGTATTTACATTGTTTTTCTTGGCATAGTCGGACAATATAAGATCTCTCAGTGCAACCTCGACCTGCACAAAAAGTGTTAGCACCAGCAATCCCCTAAGCCACTGTAAGCCATACCTTCATCCATTGGTCATCCGTCAAGGAAGGCCAAATATGATGGGGTTCTGTAACAATAGTCTTGTCCGGCTTCAAGAGCATTTTGGCCTTTTCGTTGTTCACATGTAATGCCCGGAGGATTAATATCAACCGCGAAAAGGCCGTGTACGAGGATATACTCTTGAGCCAGTCGTCATATATGTTGAAGAGAACCATCTGGGGTTCTGTAGCCTTGAGAATCAGATCGCCGAATTTTTCAATCTTTAAGCAAGCCTGGAAAGGTAACTGCAGCTCGCTCCCCTTGATGACGATGTTGGGGAAATCAAGAAGATGAACTTCCAAAGGATCAAGCATCCCCTTGCGAGTCACGATGATCTGCTTCGGCTGCTCTTCCACAGGTAGTGATCTGACCAGGGCGGCTACTTCTTCCGCTGTTTTCCATTTTGCAAGCTGACCCAGACGCTTTTGCCCAGCCCAGACACTGGTATGAATTACCTGCACAGTAACAGTTTAGAGAGCTTACAGGCCGAACGGATATATTTACCTTCAGAAACAGTTGCCCAGTACGTGGATTGAAGATAAAGATTGCTCCATTGATAGGTTTGGTTGTCAAGTTGCCTTCGAATGTTTTGTGGATGGTAACCCGATACACATTGGTGTCATCGACAAACCAGATGATCTGGTTGCTGAAAAGCTCTCCATAGTTTTGAGACGAGAGGTAAGGCTCTGTAGGCTCCGATGAATACAGCTGCAGACCTTTCCGCACCCGCTCCCGTAGCACGTAAAGAGCAGGATTCGCCTAAGAAAAAGAATAGAATCAGAAATGCTTAGCAAACTGGAGAGTAAACACACCTTCATAATCTTGTTCATAGCTTGAGCAAGAAGTGGCTTAGATCCGGGAAACCAATTTCCAAACGCGGAGTGTAAATTGTAGGCCAAATCGATGCCGATCATGACACCTGCATTGCAAGGCCTTAGATTAAAACACAGTTGAGTCAACAACAATACCTGTTGGGGCTGGATATATGGACATGTTGTCCGTGGTATAGTCAAGGAACTTTGCTCTTGTGTAGCGCTCGATGTCGTGAGAATCATAATCACCCCAACGCAGCTGAACGTCAATCCAGTACTTATTGCTCGTCTTCTGATCGAAATGGTCTTTGCCTTCCGCAACAAGACTTGGCTTGCTCATGGGCCATTTGTACGCCGCAAAGAGGAGGATATCTGCGCAAGAGCTGTTCATCTTGTAGCTCTTTCGAGGATGGATGGTTTCCTTCTGCACGGTCTCAATCTCCAAAGCATCCAACTCTTGGTCGAGGACTTGACAAAGATCCATCACCACACTCTCGTGGATCTTCTGCCACAGATGAGCTCTGAAGATTTGAATGAGGGAGATCTTCAAGGTTGGAATCTTGCCGTGCATGAAAATGCCTGTCAGATCGAGCTGAACCTGGAAGCCGACGTAAACGTTTGCCCGGTTGATAGTAGGAGACCACCATAAAGTGAAGCGGCGATTCGGAATCTGGTTTAACCCGGACCGTTGAGCGTTGGTCAGCTTCTTGTACTTCATAGATTCCTCGAAGCCTGACGCCTTCTCCCAGAAAAGACCCTCCCACGTCGGAAAGTACGTCCCTTTGAAAAGTGTGTGCTCCAATATTCCTTCTACACCTCCCAGGGCCTGAATCACATCCGTCCGGTAGTTGTTCAAGTTCCAGAGCTTGCCGTCATGCCGCTGGTGAGTCCACCAGAAAGGATTCTGCTTGAGAACCTGATACTGCTTGAAATCTGTCCGAACACGCCATCCCTTGTCATATGCAAGCGTATGTCGATCCTTTTGAAACAATGTGTTGATACGTGGAATACCGCGGTCCCAAGAGTCCTCCAAATCCTCCAGCGTAAGCCTCCTGTTTTGCGCTTGAGCTTCTTGCCTCTTCAGTGCATATTCGGCCCAAACCCGCTGCGAATCGATAAATTCACTCTCCCAAGGTTGAATGTACCGATACAAGTTCGGAATAAGCTGTTCGTCTTCGTGGCTCATACCACTCCGGAAATGCGTTATTCCCACGTCCGTCTGCTGACTATAACGCAAGTCACTCTGCGGTATGAGTATATGCCCCATTGAAAGCATGCCCAGGCCTCCTATTTCCTTTGGAGTATAAAAAATGACAGGAGGGAACCTGAAACACAAGGAAAACAAGACTGAGAAACATAAAGTGCAAAATAACATGTTCAACTTACCGGCTAGGCATTTTTGAATTTAAGCCGATCTTGATTCGGGTTTGAATCTTATTCTCACATTTCACCAGCAGATCAAGTAATTCCTGAGTATGGACAGTAGCCTCCCGAAAGTATGTCATCAATCCTGAAACAATGATGGTTATAATAAAAACGTAACAGAAGCAGTGAGTAGCATACCGATCAAGGCGGTGTTCCATTTGTTGACAATTTTGGTGAACGTTGTCGATCCTGAAGACATAAGAATCTGACGGACTCGGTTCTCAAAGACTTTCATATGCTCGTCGTCCACCCGAAGGTAAGCCATAGCCGTACGCTCTTTCGTCTGCTCGTTTTGTAGATTCCAGACACCATCCTTACTACCAAAAGCTTCCTGAGACATGCGGCATTTTGGAAGAATTCGAACCTCAAAGCCACACCTATAAAAGGTGAAAAAATCTCAGCGACAAACAAAGAGAAGGAGAAAACTTCTTACATGCTGAAGAGCAGATTAGGATTGTCCTTGCTGTACACGGAGACGAAGCTGTTTTCCCATTCCAGCGTAGTAATGCTTCGAGGCAATCTGTTTTTAATATCCCAGAAGACACTTCGTCCAAGATTTACTGTGTAGCAAAAAGTCAGACGACAGACGAACAAAGAAAGTAAGCTTACCATCATGCTTCATAAGCCGCATTCGAGCATCTCTTGGCCAGCATTTCTTGTTGTTGTACCCGACAATGTTTTCATTGTTAGGATCCGGGTGCTCGGTCAGATATCTCTGGATCAAGTCTCTGGCTTCCTCGTGCGTAAAACGGAAAAGCATGTGCACTTTGTCGATGTATCGCGAATATAAACGAATAGGATGGCGTGTTTCAACTTTCACGTCCCAGAACGTCATAAACTCGTTTGGCATCTGTGGCGGTCCAGCAATTTCACTCGCCCGAGTAAGACCCAGCACTAGGAGATCCAAAACAAGACCATAGTACTGGACCACAAACGACGCAAACTGTAGACCACGGATTAGTCCATAAGAATTCGTGTGGCTCATGTCCTTGTAAGAAAGCACGACGTTGTTCTTCGCAGTCACATAATCGGCTATATTGTGATCAAGAACCAGACGCAATAACCTGTCACGGACTGGTAAATAAATCATGATAAGGAAAACGAAGCAGACGTTACCTGTTCAGCATTGTCAAATCGATTTTGTCAAACAGCTTTTCGAACTTCGTTTGAAGCATAACAACACATTGCCCCTCGTTTGTATCCCAAATATCTTGCAGGTTGTTGATGCCTTGGCACCATTTGTAAACGAGAAGTGGAGGCGGCTCTGAATCAGCGGGCTTGATCCAGTTGGGAAACAGGTGACGTTTGTCGCCCTCATACCATAGATATTGGTCGAGGTAAGCATCTGTAATTTTCTCCAGAGGCTCGATCTCATAGACGGGTATGAGATGACTGTAGAGATCCATAAATTCGATACCCACCTACACCACGGTACTAATCAGCACAGTTAAGAAAAAGAATACGCACCTCCTTAAATGCACGCTGAGTTAGCAAGTGCCTCTTGATCCGAGATAGTGCTTCATGCGGATTATCGTAAGCCTGTAAATAAAAAGATTTGAGTAAGAAAATCCCAAGTTATTGACAGTCGCGAACCTGCTCAATCAAGCCGAGCTCCTCCCTTTGTTGTTGATTCAATCTAACAGCAACACTGTACGACTCTTTTAGCCGTTCGAGAGCCAGGATTAAGAGCTTGGTGTCATGCTTATAAGAAAGGGGAGGAAACGGGATGGGAGAAAACTTTCTTGACTCGAGCCAGTGGACAGTCGTCGTATAAATCGCAACAGCTTCTTCAGGCGTCACGTAAGGTCCGTCTTTCAAATAATTGTGTTGACGCTCCTGGAAGACACTAGCGGTTAAGAAAGAAACCACAACATGATCAATGGTAACGCACCTGCTCTGCTTTTAGCCATAACCGTGTCAGTCGTCCGAGATTCTTCCGACAGACTGTCTTGTCTACAGTCGCGCCCCGTCTGATACGTTCTCGATTGTAGTGGGCAACGTTGGTCCACCAATCGGCTTTTGACTTCACATAACGCAGGATCATGTTTTCTATGGGAACGGGCAAGCCAGGAACCTGTTTAAAGTATTAGCAGTCACTACCATGAACATATTAGAATTATCCAGTATACCTTCCACGGAATATTAGCTTTCCAGCAGCGCCATGCTTCGCTCAAGTGCTGAAGAATGGTTCGAGCCTTGTTCTGCTTTATTCCCTCTGTGTCGAACAAAGAATTAGTTACACAATGATGCTTCCAAAGAGATAAAGTGGTAGTACCTGGCATAGCATCTAGAACGTCGTGCATCACTGCAGCCCGGAGCTCAAGATCGAAGTGGCTTTCAACACGTTGCTTGGTGACAGTTTTTGCGATGCCTTTGGAATGTCTTCCTTCGAACTGACGAGCAAGCAAGTTACCGAGCCATCGCTCCAAAAGCGGCACCACACCGCGGAGGAAAAACAACCAAACCCTCCACATAGGCGCCCAGAAGCCACAACCAGGACCCTTGCCAACCGGTCCGGTATTGAAGCGGTAGTAGATGAGATGCTTCAAATCCTTGCACATCCTGATCTGACGCATGAGCCTGTACTTGTAACGGTACATGCCCGTGAGCTGCCCAACGTGCGAGAATGTGTACTGCAATCCATCGGCAAGCTGGAAGGCATCGACGTTGCCCAGCCTAAACTGTATATTCGCGTCGACGACGAGCTTTGTCAACCGTAGTATCTCACGGCAAAGGTGGAAGGCATTGCCAAAGCGGGACTTCTTTCGCTCTTTAGTCGTCAGCGTTTTCACGGGCTTAAGATTGAAGTTGTAGTCAAGATGCAGATAGTTGAGGTTCTTGCGATGGATCAGCAAATTGAGCATGTTGTAGCCTTGACGACAGACTTGCAGTCCAGCTTCGGCCCAGTCCAACTCTGTCGTCTGGAAAAATTTTGTAGCACGTAAAGAGCGAAACAGGTACTTCTTCTTCTGCCCTTTAGGAGCCCGGTGATGGAGCTCGTTCAAAACATAGCACTTGAGAAGCTTCTGGTAGCTGACCCTGACCTTGACAGGGTATGTTGGTGGACTACAAGAACAAACAGTCCAGTTATTAACCACGAGCAGAGGAAGTCCACCATACGTACCAGTGCTCTTTGTACCAGTCGGAAACAAGGGGAACGTCTTCGGCACGACGCGTCCTACCAGACCGCATGTTGAAGGGCCGAGGCGCGAAAAGTAGTGCAATTCCCGCAGCAGTAGTGTCGGTGTAGATTTTTGTCGTGGGCAATAGAGGTTCAACACCTTCTGGAAGTTCAAAATCGTCCTCTTCCTCGCTCTCCTCTACAACTGGCTTCTTCTCCCTCCGGTCCATCTTATAAAAGGGTATCGGATGTATCAAGGGGTCGTAGTAGAATGCAGGAAGGTCGGGATCCTCTGTCTTGATGTACATCACCATGGGCGTGTGATATACACCAAGCTTCACTTTTCGAGGCCTGTTGTTGTATAGGTGAGGGAAAGCTATTCGATATTCGGTTCTCAGCGGAGACCGAATAATGAGTTTGTTAATGTCGTTAAACTCGTTCCAGTCCTCATCACCTTTTTCCATGTCACGGTAAAGCGGCTCAAACTTGGGACCCCCTGACAGCACCAAGGGTGAGACGAAATCCAATTTGAGGGCAAGACGTTTTACCTGGTATGCACATGTTCAGAGCTTTCGCAGTGAAGAAGGATTCCATGTCGAAGAGATAGAAATAATTCCTGTCGATCAAATCCGATAGCAACTGCCCGGCCAGCCTATGGAGTGTGGCCATAATGGGTAACGACAGTTGCCACCGACGGTAGCTGGGGCCGTTGATCAGCTTTGTCTTGACGAGCGGCTTGTGGTCGTAGAACCACCTGTAGACGGCAGCGTCTTCCTCAGGATCAAGTTCGAGCTGAATGGGTTCCAGCGGGTCCACGTCGAGAAGATTATCAGCGTAATCAAGCGGAGGCTCCTCGTCATCGAAAGGAGGGAAACGCATTCGCTTGAAATGTCTCCTGTCCCTCTTCTCGCGCCTCATCATGATCCACATAGTACCCCACTGCAACCAGCAGTGTCAAAAGCATGCACCACAAACTCTTGTCGTGGTTACCTGAGCTAAGTAGATAGGCTCTACAACCCACGGGATCTCGTCCACGAATGTGATGGCACCGGTTATGTGATACAGGACCTTTACATCGCGGACCTGGTGGTTTTGTTCAAACAAGAGATATCAGTCCGAGAAAGCGGAAGAGGACACGAAAACCACGTACCTGTTCCCAGGGCATGGGCATGTTTTCGAGGAGCTTGTAGACGGCATGAGGCACGAATTTGAGCGCACCCAAGTAGACCCGCTTGTCGTGGCGATACTTTTTGGAAGACATATCCCCATGGTCCCTGTTGAAAGCGCGAGAAACAATAAGAAACAATAGAAACCAATCCTCTCTATCGGGTGTGGCTACTCACTTGATAATCTTCCTCACGTGTTCCGGCGGCATGTCCTCCTTCTGGATCTCCACAAACCCAAACCTCCGCTTCTCGCCGTAGCGCTTGTTGTTGAGCTGCATCCATTTCCTGGCCTTCTCGTCCAGCTGCTTCTCCAGGTCGGCGGGCGTGGGAGTCTCGGGTATGCCGGGCGGCGGCAAGAACCCCTGCTGTGGAGGCGGCATTGCCGACGGTGGTGCGATACCCGGCGGCGCCAAGGGCAGAGCAGCCATACCTTGTGCCGCCGCCGCCGCCGCTGCCGAGGGAGGCACGCCGGGCGGCCCCCCCTGCATCATCGCTTGCTCGATTGCTTGCCGCTGCTAGCAGCGCCCAGCTAGCTCAATCCCAATCCCTAGGTAAAGTGGCACCAAGAAAACGAAAACCCTAGCTCGTGGTATTTACAAATTTTAAGTTTTACATGGTAATAAGAGAGAGAGAGAGAAGCGAGCTAAGGCTATGGCGGTGCCCAAAGATTTGCCGCTGCTCTAGCGCAGATGGGCGCCGCAGCGCGTGCACACGGTGTCGTGGGAAGAGTAGCAGCACACGGGGATGAAGCAGCACTTGAATGTGCTGCGCACTTTGACATTGCTGGCTTGCGATCCACACACGGGGCACATTCCACTCGCGGGGGTCGCCGATTTCACCTTGCGGCTCTCGCCACAGATCAATGGCAAGAAGAAAAACATCCTGTTGCTGGACTGTTGCCCCGATCGATCCTCTCCTCTCCTGCTAGGCTAGCTGCTACGAGCTTGAGATCTCGAATTTGAGCGCTTGCCACTTACAGTGTTCTAGATGCCTGGATGATCGCTTGGTTTGCCCTGTCTATGGCGATGGGCATCTATATAAAAAGTGATCGTGTACGTGTCGGTACGGCCCAGCACCACGCGGCTTACCCACAAAAGCACAAGGAAAGTCCTGGCTTGCGCGTTGCGCGTCGTGTACGAACACGAGGGGGATATTCCCGCCGTACGGAGGGGGTTTATCTATCCGCAATAGAGATGGCTATGGCGATGCCAATGCCGGTGGCCGTGGCGGCGGTGGCGCGAAGGGTCCCCGTTGTGGCGGCTCCATGGTCCACAAGGTTAGCGCTTCTGCTCACACCTCTTCTAGCATTGCGTGGAAGCCGCGAGTGATGATGTTTGAGGCAGGCACGCGAGCCCGCAATGCTTGTTCCAGAGCACGCCCGCGCTGAGATTCAGATTCACATCATCCCCCAGCGCTCCCAGCTCCACAGCAGCAGCGGCAGCAGCAGCATCCGATCCAACAGCCGTGCCCCAGCTAGAGGAAGAACAAGGAGCACCACAGTTGGAAGCCTCGCCCGCAGCCTCCAATCCCATCGCGGCGTTGAGGTCCGAGGCGGAGATCCTCAAGCGGAAGAAGAAGAGGATGGAGCTCCGGAGGAAGAGGCTCAAGCGGAAGAGGATGCTGCGCAAGAAAGGGCGGTGGCCACCCTCCAAAGTGAAGAAGAACAAGAATGTGTAACACCCAAGCGAGCTTTCTTACAAGCTTTTGAGGCTCCCCCATTGGTTCAAGCTCAAGCATTGCTCGGTACCGCTTTCAATACGGAGAAGATATCTATACGTGTTTAGTTGGCCGTCGTGCATGCATGGGGATCTCCGGCTTGGATGGAGCACGTCTTTGACTTGGTTGACGAGACCAGATTCTTGATCGCATCGGAAACTTCTTGAGGGACATCCTCCTGAGATATGCGAACTTGTTAGTAACAACGAGAGGACGCTAGAAAAAATGGTGACAGACACACACCTGAGGCCATCGGCTGCCGGTGTGACACCGAAACAAAGATCCCGGCGCCAGCATCTGTGAAGCCCGCTCTCCTTCCGTTTTCCACTGCTCGGACCAGCCGCAAGCCCACAAGAGCTGCATTGCGATATCGGCACCACGCCAAGGTGTGACGCTCGAGTTGGCCATCCTCGCCATCTCCAGCAGCGCGGCTCTGCCATTCCCGCGCCGGAGCAAGAACGCGTGAGCCCGGGCGACGTCCACTGGCAGCGTCGGCATGCAGCACCGCCTCACGAGCCACGCGTAGGCGAGCGTGGAGCGGAGCAACGCAGATCCCACTCCCGGGCTGCCCAGCAACAAGACGGGCAGCGCCGGCCTCGCCGGAGACGAATCCAGAATGGTGACGCTGCGCACTCTCATGCTCGAGGCAGCCGTAGCAACGGAGTAAGCTCTCGCCACCTCTGAGGCCGTGTCATGGGCAACCAGATGGAGATCCAGATCTTGGATCGGGAGGAGAGAGCGGAGGAGCTGGGCGAGAGCCTGTGCCTGCTCTTGAGTGTCTCCTCCCACGGGCCACTTGACAATCTCAACCTTCTCGGCGGGCATATCGCGAGTGGCGGCAGCTGGAAGAGCACCCGTCTCGAACATCTGCTCCAACCTCCACAGGAATCCCTTGTCCGCGATCTCCTTCACCACCGCCCGAGCGGCGGCCGCCAGCCACTCCAATCCCCCGAGCTCGCGCTTCCATTCCTCGAGCGTGAACTTGTCCGACAGCCCGGACCCTGGAAGATCGAGGGCGACGACGCGAAACCCCGCCGCCGCCAGCAATGGCTGCACTTTCCTGTAGATGAAAGAGCTGCTACCCATCCCGTGGAGCAACACCACCACCGGTGCTCCATCGCCCAGCTCTTGAGCTTGATCCGGGTCCGACGTGGTCGCGAATACTCTCACCGTCCTCCACCCGACCTCCACCTTGACAAACTTGCCACCCAGGAAATGCTGGCGCACCACAGCCGGCATTGCAAGCGGCCCTTCTTCGTCATCCTTGACAAGCGCACTCACCATCACGGCCAGAATCGCGACTACCATTCCAATCACTAGCACCAGTTTCTTCTTCACTGGTGGTGTTTGCTGGAGCGGTGGTGGTGGCTGCTGCGGTGGTGGCGGTGGCGGAGTAGCAGGGTCGCCTCCATCACTCATCTCGCTTTGGAGGCTTTCTAAAAACCAATGCAACTGAACTCTACCTAGGGTTCCAGTGTGGTGGGGTTTTGAGCCGGGGCTATGAGGGGAAGCGGGATCTTTCAGCGAGCTCTGCAGTATGTTGTAAATGAGCTGATTGTAGAGCGTCTGTCGAACAGGTAGCGCAGAGGAAATGGATAGACGAGCATCACTTTATTCTTCGCCTTTTCTTCTATTTGGCAGTGTTAAGTTCCAGCGTTTTGCAGTTCGATCGTCGAAAGCTATTGAGGACCTCGCCAACAAAGGTATTTGTGTTTGTTTTCCTTGAAACAAGAAAAAGAAGAAGAGATTTCTATGCTATTGACAGGAGTCCAAAAAAAAGAGGAGCTGGCTGAGCAGCTACGAAACATCAAGGATGAGGTTTCTTTTGTTCTTCATTCAGTTTCAATTCCAAAGACATGGGTACATTCCTTTTTGCTTGCAGGTAGGTAGAAGCTTTAAGGACAAATGAGAGTTTAGGGCTCTCTTTTTCCTTTGGTATGAGCTGGGTTATGGACGAGCGTTCTACGTCCTCTCGTCATCGCAAGTCCCACAGGTACAGCCATGGTGATGGGCGGCACCATCCTTACTCTCACCACCATTCCAGCAGCAGTGGCGGCGGTAGCAGGAGGCGGCATCGAAGCCCAAGCCCCAGCAAACCCTTGGCGACTTCTCTTCTTCAACTGGAGGAACAACTCACTACTGCTCAAGCTCAAGCTCCTGCTACTACTTCGCAAGAGCGTGCTGCTTCAGTAAGTTGTAGTGATGGAGAAGTAGCAGCGGTGGTAACGCTAGAAGTAGCAGATCTGGAGGAGGAAGTGGTGAATGAGGAGGCTGAGATGAGCGAGGTGAAAGTGGTGGACGTGGCGGAGACGAGCGAGGCTGGTTTAGCGAAGCTGGATGATGACGGCGATCTGGAGCAGGGCGTGCCGCACACCCCCGAGGTCCAGGACGTCAAGTGCTCGTCGCCCTGCGGCAAGTGCCGGATCGTGGACGAGTTTGAGAAGCTGGGGCGGCTCGGGGAGGGCGCCTACGGTGTGGTGTACAAGGCTCGCGACAAGCGCACCGAGGAGATTGTGGCGCTCAAGAAGATCAAGATGCACAACCAGGAGACGGAGGGATTCCCGGTCACATCGCTGCGCGAGATCAACCTGCTCATATCGCTGCGCCACCCGGCCATCGTGGACGTGCGCGAGGTGGTGATCGGCAAGGACATGGACAGCGTCTTCATGGTGATGGAGTACATCGAGCGGAACCTCAAGGACGTGATGGCCGCGCTGCCGCAGCCGTGGGAGCACGCGGTGGTGAAGCATATGATGCAGCAGCTGCTGGACGCGGTGGCCTACCTCCACGCAAACTGGGTGCTCCACCGCGACCTCAAGCCGTCCAACATCCTAGTCTCGGGTGGCGAGCTCAAGATCTGCGACTTCGGCATGGCCCGCCGCTACGACAGCCCCATCAAGGCCTACACGCACAAGGTGGTGACGATGTGGTACCGCGCGCCCGAGCTGCTGGCCAGCACCCAGGAGGAGCAGTACCACTACACCGCGGCGGTGGACGTGTGGTCGCTCGGCTGCATCATGGCGGAGCTCATCCTCAACGAGACGCTCTTCCAGGGCACCTCGGAGATCGACCAGCTGCGCCGGATCAAGAAGATGGTGTGGACGGCGCAGCTGGAGAAGCCGGGCTTCATCTTCCCGGCACACAAGCTCAGCGCTCTCCGGGACCGGATACTCTACCCGGCTGCGCAGGCGGGGAGGCCCATGCTATCGGAGAAGGGGCTGGATCTCCTGGCCCAGCTTCTGGCCTACGACCCGGACAAGAGGATAAGCGCGAGCGCGGCACTGGCGCATCCTTGGTTCCAGGAGCCACCGCTGCCTACGCCGCCGCCACCATTACCAGCACCACCACTGGCAGCAACAATGCCGTTACAATGAAACGGTTTGGATTTACAAGGGTTTGTGGCTCTCGCGATTGTCATGCGTCGCAGGGGAGCGCGGCTCAACCTCAAGCCCGAGTTCCTCACCGCGTTTCACGGGGACCTCATCGACATTCTCTTGGAGGGGCTTGAGAAGCCGAGCCGGAGGGCCGAGGCACTCACCAAGTCCAGAGGTGTGCAGACTGCGCCACCTCTCGATCTTGCCAAGGCCAAAACCAAGGCTGGGATTAGCAACGCCGCCACCACCACCACTACCGCCGCTGCCACGGCCAGGAAAGAGTTGCTGGCGAAGAGAGACAGGATCTTGCAATGCACGGGTGTCCAGCTTGACGCCGAGCTTGCCTTGCAAGGCTTGAAGAAGCCCAAGACCGTTCTTGAGGTTCCTCGGCTAGCTTTAACGTCCAAACCAAAGCCAAACATTCCAGCAACACCACCACCAGCAACGACATCACGAGATCCAGTAACACCACCAACAACTAGAACAGCACGAGATCGGCCAGGCAACCACAAGCATATGACACTCGAGATGGATTTCGAGTCTGCGAGCGCGACACTAAGCGGGAGGCTGGTGTACAAGAACAAGCTCCCCGATGGGATGGGAGCGCAGGGATCAAGCGCTAGTGAGGACGATGCAAAGGCGCTATCCATGGAACTGGCCAGCTCTCTAGAGAGGGTCCTGACCAAGCTCACCAAAGTGGAGGGATCGTGTTGTCAGACAAAGGTGTCCATCTACATGGGTGACAAGAATCCACACGACGCCGGCAAGACTATGCCCAGGAGATCATCACTGCCCGCGGCCACGCAAAAGCAGCATGACGGGATCAAACGCAGTGCCAGGCCGCAAAGATCCGCGCCACAGCTGGGCTTTCGAAAGACAATGCTGGTGGGAAGTTGACAAACAGATTCTTCTCTCCTCCATACTCTTTCTTTTGTTTTTCTAGCACACTGTCCACAAAAGAAGCAGTCAAATAGAAGGGAGTTCATTGATCCTTTCAGAACACCCGAGCCTCGTTCTTGAGCTTGTCCAGGAGTTCATCCACGGAGGCGACCATGACACCGGCCTTTCGCTTGGGTGGCTCAGTCACCTCTAGCACTTCCAAGTCAGAGCCAATGACAACGTTGAGCTCCTCCGGCGTCACTCTCTGGATGCTCTTCTTCTTAGCCTTCATGATGTTGGGCAGGGTCGCATAGCGCGGGGTGTTCAATCTCAAGTCGGCCCTGCCACGAACGAATCAGTCGTCAAGCACACTCACACACGAAGGGAAAACGCGACTACGTTACGACTGCTGGGAGTTGCAACTGGATCGTCTCGATTCCTCCGTCCACTTCCCTCTCCACGCAAACACTCTCCTTGTCATCACTTATTGAAACCTTTGCAAATCGATCATGGTAACTGTGAGAGAAAAAGAGAACTTCCAAAAACACTGGATACCTTGGATGCGAATGTGGCTTGTGGCCATCCCAAGAGCCCGGCTACCATCTGTCCAGTTTGATTACAATCATCATCTATCGCCTTCAAAGAAGAACAAAGTTATAGTTCCAATCAAGGATGCAAAGAAAAGAAAAACGAAGAACCTGCTTGCCCAGGAGGAGAAGACGAGGCTGCTCGGACGACACCAGCGCTTGGAGCAGCTTGGCGACTGCCAAAGGAAATAAGGAGGAGGAATCCTGGGTGATGACATGAAGGCCGCGATCAGCACCCATTGCCAAGCCAGTACGGATAGTCTCCACGCACTGCTCGCCTCCCATGCTCACCACCACCACCTCCGACGCTCTGCCTGCTTCCTTGATCCGCAGTGCCTCCTCCACAGCAATCTCACAAAACGGATTCATCGACATCTTTGTGTTCGAGGTCTCCACTCCACTCTGCGCTGCAAAAATCATCCATCAGTCGACACTTCCGGCAGCAAATCCAGCGTACCTTGTCCGCCTTGATTCGAACCTTGACAGCATAATCCACGACCCGCTTCACTGCCACCATCACCTTCATCTTGGAAGAAGCCGAAAGAAAGAATGCCCTATGCCCTTAATAAACTTGAGATAAATTCACGAGGAACAGACCTTCCTGGACTCCTCGTTTGTCGTTTTAAGTTAGCTACTTACAGTGCTTGGACTTGTTGGAAGCAAGTCGATATAAAAATCTCATCTTCTTCTACTCCGCTGGTTATAATAGCTATTCGGCCTTCTTGGAGAAGCGGTTCTCTCTCTCGAGCTTGCTCGGTTGGTTGACGATGGTGCCGGAGGTGGCCTCAACGCATCACCGTTCCTTGTTCGCTTCGTTAGCCTGGCCAAGCCTCAAGCACTTAGAAGTCAAGAATTTGCTGCCCATGGAAGGAAGCATTACCTTGCCGGTGGTGGACTATACCGCTTTTTGTGTGTGTTTGTGTGTGTACTCCTTTTTGGAGCCGCCACTGCTCTTAAAGCCTGCGCTGCAGCCTGTAGAGGAGCTTAAGCCCGAGAAAATGCATTGAAGTTTGTTTCTACCTCGTGTCTCGCGGACTCCCAATCAGGCCCGCTGCCTTTCCCCAAAACTTCCCCGGCAACTTCCACCTAGAAACACAACCTTGTTTCATCAATCCAGCTTTTTGTCAAAACCGCTCACTCACCTCGCAGATGTAAATCCCCTTGGAAAAATCTCGCTCCAGGTATTCAACCTTGGATCCTTCGATTTTGCACTACTCAAACAAAAGAAAAAAGTATAAAGCTAAAAGAGAGAAAACAACGAACTTGGTCATGAAATCCAAAGATTTTTGTCCTACCATGTCTCTCAGTGCGGCAACCGCGTTGAAGCTTGGAGCCTTCTTCTCATGGTTTCCTTTCGGCGTGGAATGCGAAGCGTTGGCATTGCCTACGTCCTCATCCTGCCGTAATAAGTCGCTTGACTCTGCCACATTCAAAGGATACCAGCTCAAAACCGCACTGGCAAAACATCAAACTTACTTGTCAAGTACTTAAAAGCATCCTCAGCTGCCCGAGTCTTGGCTTCCTTGTTTGTTTTTCCCTCACCACCACCAATCCTAATTCCATCGCAAAACACCTACAGGAAGAACCAGAGTGCTTGACACTTCGAGAATTGAGAAACCAGCAGACAACAACTTACCTCAGCAGAGAATTGTAGTGCTTGAGCTGGCCGAATAGAACACCGGAATTCAACCTGAGACAGCCAGTTTAAAACAAGTTGAAGGCAAGAAACGACAACACATACTTGCGTTTTAGATTTGTCACCAAAGTCCCTGAGCGCTACAAGGAGATCTGAAAGATCTAATGCTTTGGCAATAATAGTTAGCCTCTCTAAATCTGAAAATCCATGCGTCAGCTATAACCAGGAAGAACGGTGCAAAAACAACCTTTTAAGACTGCTAGGTCATTGCCATTTGCATGCTCCTGCAACAAATAGAGTATTGTTCGTATCCGTCTCAACCATAAGAAAAAGAGAATGACATACCTGTTGCTGACATTTTCCACTAGTTTTTGCTTCACATGATTTGTTTGATGGTGAATCCGGCTGCGCTTGTTCCTCGTCCTCCGCTTCCAGCCAGCCACCGGCTGCTGGAGCTAACTCTCCATTTTGGTGTGCGTGGCCATTTTGCAGATCCTACAAATCAAACAAACACGCAGCAACAATTACAACTTCAAGCGTTGTTTCACACCAAGATTTACCTTGCGTGACAAGGCCATCGCGACCTCTGGTCCCGTGATACCATCGGGGAAATATTTCGGTACACAGTTGTTGTTCTCTGGGATCACGTTTTCAATCTGCATGGAGTGCTAGTGTTTAAACTCGAAACCGGAGGGAAAATGTAAGTGTCGCTCACCTCGATAGTGAAGTAATTCGCAGCGGAAGGAGGGTCTGGCAGCGTCAAGCCGTTTGTATCAAAATTAACTTGAGAAAGCTTTTGCGGGAGGACTTCGTCAAAGTACCTATGTTTCAATTTGGATTAGCCACAACAGCCTTCTTCGCAAAACGCCACTTACTTGAAGAAACCAGCCCGGACATTCGATGCGACATTTCGTGCGATCCACAAAACTGGAAGCGGGGCACTAGCCTGCATGGCAGAGAGAGAGAGAGAGAAAAAAGGACATGTAAACATAGATCGATCGGAAAAAAATCCGTGATCCAACCTCCGCTTGTGGTGCATAGTAAGGAGAAAATGCAGGAACAGTATGAACATGAGGCTGATCCTTGTCCTCCCAAACTTCGGGACGATCATCAATCACCATGGCCATCCTGGGATGGCAATGCAGCTGCTCAAACATGCTTGATAAAGATTTCTTCGAGCCTATACAAGAAAAAAAGTGGTCAAGAAACTTGTAAGAAGGACAAGACAAACAAAGAACTCTGATTCACCTGCTTTGACACAAACCAGTCTTCGCTGGAGCTCTGTGGATTCAATGAGACGCGCCCCTGGATCGAGTAATCTCCACATTTCCATTGCGTAGTCTCGTTCCGACATGGTACAAATGTAGACTTGAAAGCGCTTGCGATCTTTTGCCACCAAGTGGTTTCGCAGCTCTTCCCATGCCGGCCTCATCCTCACCAAAACGCTCGTATCTCTCACCTGGATCAAGCCAAAGAACAAAAGAAAGTGAGAACGAGTTTCCGGATGGTTTCTAGCTGACGGCAGGGTTGACGCGGGTGAGAATGATGTTGCGCTCCGGAATTCGAATCACTGGTCTCATCACCTCCTCCTCAAGCTGCGCCGTGATGATCCTCCCGTTGTCCACGATCACGCAGTCGCTATCCACAAACTGCTTGAGCAGCGCACGGTCGTCCGAGTAGCGCTTGAGCTCGGCGGTGAGGCATGCGAGCTTCTGCGCGTCCATGCCTTTGTTGGGCAGCGGGATGCGCTGCTTGTCGATCTGGGCCTTGAGCGCGTCCATCCGGTCCTCGAAGGAGCGCATCGTGTTGGCCAGTATGAGCGTCTCGTCCAGATCCAGAACCATGGCCAGGCACCTTGTGCTGAGCATGGCGAGGCAGGACGCGTAGAGGCCCCGCGGGAGCACGAACGCCCAGAAGAAGCAACCATCCTCCTTTTGCTCCCCATTGCTGCTCGTCTCGCTCTTCACGGCCACCAGGAGCAATTCCACGTTTCCATCCATGGGTACCACAGCCGCCTGCGCCACACGAGAGCGATAGAGAGAATTAGGACCACCATCTCGCGAGCTGGGAAGCAAAAGGGAAAGGAGAAAATGCCACGAATCTTCTCCAAGATTCGAGGGAAGAGTGAATTGACGCGCTCCCTTTGTGATTGCCGCTGGGAGGGATGGATTGAGATCAAGTTGTGTCAACGAAAGGATGGAGGATTGGAGGATGGAAGTTTCAAACAAAACAAAGCGACCAAACAAGAGAGAGAGGGAGATTGGCGCGCAAAGTCTTTGCGTTTGATCTTTTACTACCTTTGCTTCCTCGATGCAAGTCTTGTAGAGATGGCGCAGTGGGCTCGACGATCGAGCTCCATCTCCGTCCAATTGCCGTGGCGATGTCGATGGTGGTGGTGGTGGCGATGAGGAAGAAGTCTTGTGCCGATCATCCAGCTTCAACCACACCGGATCCATGGACACCGTATGGATCACCACCAGAGGATGGCATCGCTCGCTGGGCGGCGAGAGGGCGGCGACGCGAATGCCCGATCCCAGCGCCGATCGAGCAACCTCCACACTCCCGCTCGTCGTCGCGGCCGTGATGGTCGTCGCCGCGCTGACCAGCGTTGACGTCGTCGCCGTCGCCGTCGCTGTCGTCATCGCTTGCGGCTGCGACTGCGACTCCGCCAGGAGTGGTGGCGATGACGATGACGACGAATGCGGCGGCGGCCTGGGGCGGAGGAGGAGCGGCGGAGGAAGTGGCGACTGTGCTCGCACCCTCACTTCGCCGATGTGATCTTGACCCATGTACACCGCTGCCACAAACCCTAAGCCTCCATCGCCTTCGCCCGCCGCTGGAAACCCTTGCGATGATTCCTCCATCGATCGCTCGTAGCTCGGTTCGCTCGCTGCGCCGGCCGCGAGATTGGAGGATCTTCGTCGTCGTCCTCGTCCTCTTCGTCAAGATTGTTGGCTGGATCGAGGATGTTCAAGTCTCCAGGAGGCCGCATTCTCTTTGTTGGCCATCGCCATCGCCATCGCCATAGCCGCCCGGGGCGCCATGGCTTCCTCCTCCTCCCTGGCACAGCAAACACCCAAAATGATATTTTAGGGCTCCTCCACACGGGGGTTATAAACCCCCGTTAGCGGGTGTATGACATGGCGGGCGGGAGAATGTAGCTTGGAAGCTTTATAAATTTCTATCCACTCTTCCCACATCCATGGCTCTCGCCGCTCCTCCAGCGCCGCCACCACCGCTACCGCCGCAACTGGATGAATTGGACTCGGCGGCGCTGGGGAATCTCCTCCGCCAGTGCGCCGCCGACAGGGCCCTCACCGCCGGGAAGCTCCTCCACGCCCACATCCTCAAGAACACGAGCCGCTTCCATCGCCAGCCCTACCTCTACAATCTCCTCGTCCAGATGTACGCCAAATGCGGCTGCCTGGAGGATGCGGTGGCGGTCTTCGATCTCATCCAGCCCAAGAACAATCACTCGTGGAACATCCTCATGGCGGCATTTGCCCTCAACGGGCATCCCCGAGAGGCCCTCGACATCTTCCACCGCGTGGGAGCTGCCATGGACGGCGACGCGGGCAAGATCGCCATCGTCAACGCCCTGGGCGCGCTCCACTCGCGATCGCCGGAGGAATTGGAGGCCGGGCGAGAGATCCACGGGCGGATCGTGGCCAAGGAGCTCCAGGGCGATGGCGTGGTGGCAACGGCGCTGCTCAGCATGTATGGGCGCTGCGGCGAAGGAATCGACGATGCGTGGAGCGTGTTCGATGCGATCCAGCGCCACCCGGATCAGGACCACCGATCGGTAGTGCCGTGGAACGCAATGCTGGCGGCGCTGGCGCAGCGGGGCTATGGGGGCGACGTGGTGGCACTCTTCCGGAGAATGGACGTGGAGGGCGTGGAACCCAACGCGATCACGCTGGCGACGCTGGCGGAGGCGGTGAGCGATGTGGCGCTGGCGGCGCAGCTCCAAGCCCGGATGACCGCCACCGGCCTCGACGCTTCCTTCGATCCAGCGGTGGGCAATGCGCTCATCGCCATGTATGGACGCTGCGGCGCGCCCGATCAAGCCAGGGAGGTGTTCGATCAAATGCCACTGCGATCACGCAGCGTCATCACCTGGACGGCTGTCATCTCCGCCTACGCCGCCCGCCAGGATCGCCGCCACGCCGCCGCCGCGCTCCGCCTCCTCTGGGAGATGGATCACGAGGGGCTCATCCGCCCAAACGAGACCACCATGGCCAGAATCGCCGCCGCGGGCTGCGTGCTCGGAGATCCCACCCAGGCGGCGCTAATCCACGCCCGGATCGAGGCCATGCTCGGGGAGCGGCTGGGCGGCGGCGCTAGCAGCGGCGCCGCCGCCGGCGATCACCTTATCCTCGCCACCACCATCGTCAACATGTTTAGCCGCTGCGGCAGGCTGGAGGATGCGCGGGGAGCGTTCGAGCGGATCCAGCACAAGGACTCCATAGCCTGGAACTCGATGATCGCGGCGGAGCACAGCCACGGCTGCCACGCCCAGGCGGTGGCGCTGCTCCGGAGGATGGATCTCGAGGGTGTCAAGCCGAGCGAGGGCACATTCGCGAGCATCGTGGCGGCGATCGCCAGCGTGGGATCGGCTGATCAGCTGGGCTTCGCGCGCTCGTTCCACGCCCGGATCGTGGATGCAAGCTTCCAGATTGGCACCAGCCCGGTAGGCAACGCGCTCATCCACATGTATGGCAAGTGTGGATCGGCGGAGGACGCCCAGGCGGTGTTCGATGCGATGGAGATCCGGAGTGTGAATTGCTGGACAGCGCTTATCGAGGCGTACGCGCAGCTGGGGCGAGGATCGCAAGCGCTGCAGTGGTTCCAGGCGATGCGCCGCGAGGGCATTTGCCCTGACCCCATCGCATTCGTGGGCATCTTGTTCGCTTGCAGCCACTCGGGCCTCCTCCGTGACGCTCGCTACTACTTCCTCTCCATGATCGAGGACCACGGCATGCAGCCCATCGCCGAGCACTACGAATGCATGGTCGATCTGCTGGGACGGACAGGGCAGCTCCAGCGCGCGCAAGAACTCATCGAAATCATGCCCTTCTATCCAAAGCCGCTCGCCTGGATGTCGCTCCTTGGGGCCAGCAGCGTCCAATCCAGCGACGAGCACGCCGGCGATGCGGCTGAGCACGTCCTGGGGATGGAGCCGCGGAATTCATCTTCCTACATCGCGCTCTCCACCGCCATTTCCTCTTCTTCTGCTCAAGAACCCTAAAGCTCTGTTTTTAGGGCTTGCGCGACTGGGGCATGCATTGCGCGTGTGGCATTCCTCCGCTAGGAAATGCTACATCGATTTCGTGGCGCGGCCACTTCCGGAAGCTGAATTCTTCAGCTAGCCCGCGCTGGCGTGGAGATAGGCGCCGCATTTTGGTGGCAGCGGCTGCGGCGAAGAATTGGAAGAGCTCTTCGAATGGAGAGAGCTTGTATCACATCCTGGGCGTGGCACCGGGGGCGGATGAGAAGGAAATCAAGCGCGCCTATCGTCGTCTCGCTCTCAAGCTCCATCCAGACGTTAACAAAGAGGTAAGCTCCAGTGGCATTTTTTCTTCTTATTGTTTGGCTCCAGCCTGATGCACAGGAGAAGTTTATGCGGATCAAGCAAGCGTATCAAACGCTGGTTGATCCGTCCAAGCGCGCAAAGTACGAAGCCAGCAAGCGATCGAGCGAGAGACGTTCCAGGTCCAGTTCGAGAGCAGTGGAAGAAGAGGATTTCTATGGCTTAGGTGTGTGACATGTTTCTCTCGTTTCTCTTCTTTCTTGATATGTCTGGCTGCTCCAGGTGATTTTTTCAAAGACTTGAGTGTCTCGTTTGGTACTAGACATTTTCGGATTGATAAGCAACTACTAAAGTTGTGAACTTTTCGTGCTGCAGACGATTTTTTCCGGGATTTGCAAGCTGAGTTCCAGCAGAAAAGGGATTCTACTTCCAAGGATTCGCAACCAAAGAGCCTCTGGGAAGAGCTTGCTGTAAGTAGCCCCCGTCGCCGAATGAAAAGATGACGCGCTCTTTTTTTTTGTTTTGTAGGAGCTTGGAGAGGAGTTTCTCGAGTTTCTCGAGAAGGAGCTTAACGTGGACACTCCTCCTCAAGAGCAGCAGCAGCAGCAGCGCGAAACGAACGGCAGCGCTTCAAAGGAGAGCGAAGCGAAGAGCCAAAGCTCTCCAGAGTCACAGATGGACGATATCGAGGAGCTACTGACGAAACTCAAGAAGGAGCTGGGACTCCAATGATGGCTCCATTCGTTATCACGAACATCAAGAGGTATGCTGCTATTTTACAGCGTTGGACAGCTTACTTCGTTGTAAATCATCAGTGTAGAAATGGTGTGTATCATAGCATTCAAACCAAGTTATTGAATAAATAATGAAATTAAGTTTTGTACACGACTATGTACAAAGATTTGCTCTCCCCGTGCTCTCACAGCATCTCATCATAGGAAATGCTCGATCTCCTCGGGGCCCTGGGCTTGATTTCCTCGAACATCTTGTCCAAGATAGGAAGGAAGAACTGTACAGAAGTGCGCGGGGGGACGGGCTTGGATGGCACCAGGAGCTCCAAGTTGGCATTGTGGTCGACAAGAGGCGACAATGGAGTAGTCTCCCTGTCGTCTCCTTCGAGATACCTGACCACCTGACGAAACAAACGGGATAAGCTACAGTGTCACAGCCAAGGAAGAGCAAACCTGGCTCATCTTGGGCCTGTTGCTTGGGTCCTTTTGGATGCAAAGGCTGGCTGCCGTCACCATGTTGATAAGCTCGTACTCGTCGATCGAGGACTCGTCGATTCTCTCGTCTAAAAGTTCATGGGCGGCGCGTGCTGCCAGAAAAGGTGTTGCCTGACAATCCGTGAACGTATCAGGCAAGGTGTAAAAGAGAGGAAAAAGAGAAACTCACCCAGTCTGGTAGATGCTGCTGCCCCGGTTGCTGGTAGCTATCAAACGCAGGACGGCCGGTTATGATCTCTAGAAGTACCAATCCAAAGGAGTAAACATCTGCCTTTTCGGTAATGTGTCCTGTCTCAGCATACTCGGGAGCTACGTACCTTGGAAAAGAGAAAATCAGCTTGTGAAGACACATGAAAACGGATGATACTTCATACCCGATCGTGCCAATGACGCGAGTTTGTTCCGCTGTGTCTCCACTTGCCTGCCATCTTGCAAGGCCAAAGTCTCCCACCTTCGAGTTTCACAAAACGAGTTTAGTCTGGGGCAGAATACGAGGATTCGAGGCCTACCAGTGCAGTGAAATCGTGCGTCACAAGAATGTTGTTTGGTCTCACGTCACGATGAACAATGCATCCGATGCGGCATTCTTCGTGGAGGTAACGCAACCCTCTGGCTGCTCCCAAGGCGATATTCTGTCTTGAGGGCCAGTCAAGTGGCTTCGGATTCTCTAGAACAAAAGGAATCATCAGTACCGTGAATCCGAGACAAACTGGCGAAGACTTACTTCTGGAGAGATGCTTATTCAGCGAGCCATTGCAGACGAACTCGTAAACGAGGATTCTTCGGCCACCTTCGGTGCAGTAACCAATCAGAGTCACTAGATTTCGATGTTGAGCACTACTAAGAACTTCAACTTCGGCCTTGAATTCCCTGTCCCCCTGCCTGCTCGCGAGCTTGTGTTGCTTTACAGCAACCAGCTGCCCATCTGAGAGGACACCTTTGTAGACAAATCCAAAGCCGCCTTCGGCCACCAAGTTCTCCTTGGAGAACTTATTCGTCGCCTCTTCGATCTTACTGAACGAAAACATGATTGGTTGCGTTCCAAAACGTGGTGACTTGTTGTTGCACAGATGACAAAGCGGGGCTGCCCCTTGATTTCCTGACGCTCCTTTGGCCTCATGGTTCTCGACCACACTGAAGCAACGATCCAGATCACTGACCACGTTCTTTACAAATGCCTCCTCGTTGCCGCCGGCTTCTTGGTGCAACTTGCTTCCTAGCAACATTGATGATTCCTCGACATAACTATCGAAAAGCTTGGTTTCGAGCTCGTTGGGCCCGCCTAAGAGCTCCAGCATCTCCGATCGGCGGTCTGGCTGTACAGAAATAGGACCTGTGCCGGAGCTTGGCCGATCCGAGACTGCCTCTATGCTACCTTGCGGTGAGTTCTTATCGGGACTGAGCTTCAGAAAGCATCGAAATGATCCAAGAGATGCAGACTCTTCTGCAGTGAAACCGGAGTCTATTGTTGACACCTGGCCGTTGGCTGTGTAATCAACTGTAAGAAACATGATCGAAAGTATAGCAAGCAGGAGCTTACATTTCACGAGTTCACTTGCGAATGTAGTATTGTCAGTGGCTTCACCACTAACAGCTGGAGCGTTTGCAGAAGTCGCGCTGCGCTGATTCGCATTGTTGTTTTCCGGCGAAGAATTCACTTTGCGCTTGTGGTCGGTGCAGGAATCCATGCTAGTCAGACCGAGTGGAACCTCTAGCTCAAAGAGATCACTGGAGTCCACATCGCATTTATCGGGAGTGACGAGTTTCACGACGCGTCCTTTGCCGTGCTTATCCATGACTGCCAAGTTACACTCCAGCAGCTCATTGATATATGTAACTTCCTTCTTCATAAACCTGCAATGCGTTGAGCTCATTAGCATGCACGAGGATTGAAATCAACACATCGTCTCGACCTGTCCATAACAATCCATGTCGGAGCAAAAACCTTTGCATCCCGGAGTAATACATTTCTCGCTTGAAACCCTCGAATAATGGCGAAGCTCAGAGCAACCTGTTTGACAAGAATAAAACAGATTTATTACTGTCTATAGAAAAGCTAGGCAAGCTTGCCTGGGAATTTTCTTTGAGCTTAGCAAAGTTGTCCTCGTTCGCAGCAGATATAACATCTGGATCGAGATCAGCTCGGGACTTGTGTCCCACTGCCGAGAAAGTAAGCATGAAAGTTTTCTAGCATGAAAAGAAAAAACTCACGTCTCATTGCTTGCGAAGTTTTGGCCGGTTGGAGAAGAACACCAAGCAGCCTGATCACATCGTCGGGCCGAGCAAACGAATTGAGCGTCCAAGTGAGAGCTTGCGAAGAAATGAGCTGATCCCTGGAAGCATCCACGACCACCAAAATCCTCCTTGGCGACGCATACATTGCTGCGTGATCGGCGAGCAGGAACAAAACTCGCTACGCTAACGAAGAGCTTCTCTCTTTCAGGCAGTGATAGAGATCAAAGACATGATTGAGAAGAAGCAAGCGATTGAGAGAACTAAAGCTCACGAGATGCTTCATTCTCCCCGGCGCAGCAGCATGGCAAGGAAAACGGCAATGAAAATGGATGCACTCGCAATCGCGATCCACAGAAACCCTGGCCTCGGCGGAGGAGCTCCCCATTTCTAGGCGCAAGGGGCCAAAGCAAAGAGCGGACCTCGCAATATCCCTCCGTCTAGACGGCGACGGAATATACCCGCCCTTTGGGAGGGGAATAATTTCGATTGGACAGGGTTAGGGTTTGTCGTTGGATCGATGATGAATGGTGTCGTCTTCGTCTCGCTGCTCTCCTCCATCGTCTCGCGCTTCTTCCGGGTGAGTTAGATTGCAACAAGGAATGGGATGCGGGCGTGCAGGCTTGGAGTAGTGGATCCTTCCAATTCCGTGGCCAGGCTGCTACTGGAGCCCTTCGACAAGGCTGTAGCTGCCGCCATTCTATCCGATAATCTCTCCTCTTGCCTCCTCCTGCCGCTCCTCGCCGATCCCGGGAGCTCAAATCCCTCCTCCCCGATCTCCTCCAGGCAATCCTACAAGCGGCTCAAGGCGCCCGGCTGCTCCGACGCTTGCTTCCTCCGAGCTCAGGTACGCGGCGGCCATGCCGGATCTCCCACAATCGATGGCGTCGCGCTTCAATTCGGCCAATTCTCCTCGCCCGCGCCTTGCCGCCATCACAGCTTCTTCCTAGTGGCGTCGCCATCGCCTGGCACGACTGGATCGTGCACGGATCTCCGGGCGTGGTGCTGCGACACGATTGACACGACGAGACAGGTGCCGCTGGAGGCAGGGGGTTTTGGGGGTTCTTCGTCGCCGCGAATGGCTGCCCGGCTCGATATCCCCCATATGGGAGTGAAGATGGTCGCGTCTGTCAACTTCATCGCCCTCCACTCCCCCGTGGCTGGCAAGGTCTGGCTGTTTGCTGCCAAGCTCCAGGATCCCAAAGCTGGCGACTCTAGTGGCTCGCTTCTCCTCCTCAGCTGTGCGCTACTCGACTGCAGTGCTGCTCCGGTCTACTCGATCCATCTCTCCATGCAGCACTTGCTTATCGGCGAGATTGGAAGGGTTCGCGTCTTCCCTCTCCGGCCACTCGTCAAGGGCCGGAGTTTGAGTGCGAGGCAAAAGTTAGCGATCGATTCTACTGTTGCTGCTCTTCCGCCTCCGTGCGGCGATGACAACAAGCAGGCGGCTACTCGAGTTCACGCTCCTTTGAATGGCTTGTACGAAAAGTACCTCTTCAACTCAGTGGTGGTGAAGAAGAACGGTTTCCGAGACCTGAGCCAGGATGACTCGTCGAGCTTGGATGATGAATTTGTGCCGGAAGTTGGGAAGTGCGGTGATAAGGATTGTGATCACCGAGCAGCAAAGTCATCACCTAGTAAGTCACGGAGATTGTGCAAGCTTAATCCTGAGACGATCCTGTGTTTGCAGATCACCAGAAAAACGGTGTTATGTCACTCAAACACTGCGAAGAGGCGGCTGTGCAGGCGATCAGAGAAGCACAGCAGTCGATCAGTGTAGCACTGACCGGTATGGAACAGGTGGTGGCAATCCATCCTCTGTCGGCGACTGCTTTTCTGGCTCTTGATTCGTCGGGAAAGCTTCAGCTGATGAGCTTTAAGAGGTCCATTTTTGCGAAAGGCAGGGCGAGATCATCCAAGAGCGCTGTCGTGCGCGTGGACACCAGGTCTGTTGAGGTTCCATTTCGCGTGTCCTCTCTTGCGGTCGTTCCGTGTGCTACGGACACAGGAGGTAAAATGACTCTTTTGGTTCGTATACCTCACTTTTCTCTCGTTTTACTCAGGGGTCAGGACACTGTGGCTATCAGATGGAAAGAACTCCGTCTACGTTCTCGCAGTTCCGGAAGACATGCATTCTGTTGACGGCGCCATTGCTCCCCGAGGTTGTATGCGAGGTGTCTGTATCACCGCTGGGTGTGTCTTAAGTTTGAGAGATTGCAGTGATGCAGGTGCTGTTTGTGGGTGCTGGAACTGAATCTCTCGTTGCGCTATCACCGGAGACTGTGTTGGCTTTATCTGAGGGTAAGCTCTCTTTTTATTTCTTGTCGCTAAGAGAGCTACTTCGTTTTCTCCCACAGGAGCGCTAGTCGCATATGTGAAAGCAGCAAGTTAAAGTCGATGCTGAGGATTTTTTTTATGATAACCAGGTATGCCGGCCACTTTCGATTCCATGCTAAATCATGTGTAACTCTTCATTTTTACAGTTCAATACACTACTGTGGGTTCGCCGGATAGATTCTGTTTGATTTGGATGGCAGAGTAGTGTGGCTTTCTCAAGCATCAACTCTTACTATCCTTGCGTAAGTTCCTCTCGCTCGCGTGATTTCTTTTTCCTTCTGCTGATGCAGAACTTTTCGCAGTTGCTGGTGCAAACAAGCTTCGCAGAGGGCCAGAACGATCGATGGGGGTGAGGCGGAGTCCAGTAGCAATTACCCAACGTTGCCTTTGGTCCTGGCCATGGAATTAAGCAGGGTTTTAAGGACTGATAAGGTGAGAATTTCAAGCCTTTCATTTGTTTATTTATTTGTTTGTGCTGGATGGAGCAGAGGTGCGGGAATTAGCATTCTGGGGAACGAGGATGATAACGACAACGAAGAGGAAAGAATGCGTTAGTGATAGAGAGCAGGGAAATCTCTCCAAATTCCTTCTTTGAGCGCAAGAAGGTTTCTTCTTTTCTAGCTTGGTATTCCTCGCAATATTTATAAAAATCATATCAACAAGATAACTATGCGTGGACTTTTTTGCAACTGAACCTTGGTTCACGGCCATTGAAAGAATGAGACGACTTGAGAAATAAAAACCATGCATTGCCCACACACACTGATGCAGGTGCAAGTATGTCCATTATCCACACACTGCTCATGCCTCAACAACACCAAAACATTACCCCGAAACTATCGTTTCATTCTCCCCAAGCGACGGAGAGTCCAGGAGTGATGATTAACACGGGAGCAACACACGGATTAGGCTCAATTTCCCTTTAATCTTCAAGAGCAGTACATTCCAGCTTCTGTATTAGAGGCATGGATCACAAGCTTGGAGCTCACCGAGTTCGTTGGAGACGCAGCTGTTAAGCTTGATCTCCATAAGCAAGTTGTACTCCTTATACCAGCAGGTAAGCTCATCATTACATTCAATCCAAGAGCTGCTCATAAAGGTTAATAATGGCGTGCTAGTAGAGTGTGGGGAAGATTGGCCCTCACAGACCGTTGCCGTGAGGGTGACTGGTCCATATTGTTTAGGCTGATTAATGGTAAACCCCTTGCATGTTTGTATAAAATCTGCACAGCCCTGCTCAGCAAACAAGGAACACTATGATCATCAATGTCAGAAATTGAAAATCACCGTCACTGTGGTGGTGAAAATGTGGAGTAGCAAGAATGGAATAACTTTGTTCATCACTCTCCAGACTATGAGCTGCAATTTCATAGCATGGAAATTTATTACCACCACCGTCCAAAGTCAGATTGCCTTGTTAGTGGAAACTTGAAACACTTGGCAGACTTCGATAGCGGCTGGTCGAAAGTTATTGGAAATTCCTTATTTTTAAAATAGGAGAATATGCCTGGGACAAAGGAATTACTTTTTTCACGCCATTTTTGTCATCGCGCCGAGCCATGGATGACGAGGGTTCCACAGCTGTAATGCATGCGAGTCTTGCTCGGCGATTCCATCGTCGCGAGCAGCAGCGCTTTCAGTGGCCTTCAATGGCGCGACCGGCACCAGCTGGTGCTGGCGGGGCGAGAGTGTTCGCTGGGGCGCAGCCACGTAAGTGAAGGAATCGATCAGCTTCATCCCGGCGTTATAGAACTGGAGAGCGTCGTCTTCTTAGACGCTGCGCTTCAGCCACGCAGCCACACTTCGACAGGAGAGTGGAAGAATTTTCCGCTCATCTTTTTAGGACGCCCCAGTTAGGAATCGATTCTTGAGGTAAGATGCTGCTTCAAGTATGTGCCCTTTGGGAATGGGCATCGGGAACATTGAGCATGGTGAGGCGCTAGGAATCTGGGCGCTGGATACTGGGCATTGCTTCCTTTGGCCCATAAATTTCTTGCGTAACGCATACAAAGCTGCTTGGAACTTTTTTGGCTCAGATTTAAACTTTTGCGAACTTCTATTATGCCTTGCCAACCGGCCAGCATTTTGGTAATTTCTACTGTCTCATGGATCAAACAGATATTTGAAGGGCAACGCACTCCAGACACTCTCCTTTTGCAACATTTCAAACGGATTGCATGGATCCAATGCTGAATTGTCCACAACCAGGAAATTGAGCAAGGGATGTACGCTCCTGACCTTGGCAATAATCTCATTCTCCCAATCTCAAGCCATGAGTTCCAGGTGCGGGTACTCTCCGACGAAATAAAAACCACCCCAAAACTATTGTTTCATTCTCCCCAATGCAGTTCGCGAGCACGAATTAATCTCTTCATAAGCTATAGAAAATCTTCAATAGCTGTAAACCATACATTCCAGCTTGTGTAACTCTTGCCTAGAGGCATGGAGGACAAGCTTGGGTCTCACCAAATTGGTTGGAGACACAATCGTTAAGACCAATCTTGGATCTCCAAGCTTCTATATTAAAGTATTAGAACATGAAATCGAACTATTGCCTCCAAAGCTTAATGCCGTGCTGGTAGGTAGCGTGTAGATAAGATTGGCCAAAACAGAACACTGCTGTGACAAAGACTGGTCCATTTTCTTCCGTCTGGTTAATGGTAATGATTTCCCAAAATTTTCACAGCCCTACTCAGCGAACATAGAAACCTATTTGAATGTGAGAAATCTAAAATTACCATCACTGTGGTGGTGCAACCACTTTGTTCATCACCCTCCAGATTGAGTAGCATTATATTTAATACAACCACTGACTGTGTCTCCAAAGTGAAGCTTATAATCTGGCAGTTTCTGGTGGATTCTGAGGTATTCATGCATTTATCTGTGATCTCGACACAGATAAATTGGATTTAGCGGAGGTCCATAAATTTGGATTTGAGTGGAAGAGAAGTAGTTAGATAACAATAATCATATTTGGAAAACTTCATCAACCCAGATATTTAAAGCAAGGTAAATCCAAACAGAAATGTTGCAGAAGGAGAGTGAATCAAGTGATACTCTATTAGATAAGAAAGAATTGTATGGGTATATATGTCATTTGGCTTACTTTAACACTAGGTCCTAGAGGATGTTTGCTAACATCTCCCCCATAATTAATGTGCATTGCTCCTGCCTCAACCTGTTCTTACACATAATAGAACTTCATAAGGATATACTTGTTGTGACTATAGAAGACTAGATTCTGTATCATTGTTGTACTACTTTGGTTGTCAGAGATAATTGGGCCTTGTTGGAGATGCCCAAGGTCCTTCACCAAGTGCTTAAGCCATATCTCCTTGGAGCCTGTCATCAAGGCAATGTACTCAACTTTGGTTGACAAGGACACTTTGCCTTTTGTTTGTTCAACTGATTGCACTTCACAAAGTTGTAAGTTCATGGATCAATAACCTTTATTTATTGCTCAACTTACATTTGTATAACATGTAAATTCTATATCAATTGTCAAATAGCATAAACTATGATTCATTGTCCCTTTGAGGTTGTGTGCTTCATGGCCTTTTAATGGCTAATGCACAATTTTGTGTTGAATTGGTCCAACACAATTTTCACATTAAAAATATCTAGCCTTGTCACAATACACTAAGCAACTAATGAAACTTCAATAAGTCCTCCACACTCCCTAAGGGCAAAGCACCAATGACCATGGCTATCCTCACATAGTGTCAGCATGCCATGCCAAAACATTGTAAGAGAGCTTTATATATTATCCTTGATGGATCTTTATAGTGGCATATTTAGGATCCCATTCAATTCCTTAGCTCCATGCTTAAGAGTTTGGCTTTGTCCCTTTATTCTGTGGGCCAAAGCTTTTAAACTCGGGTTTTACTCCTCTATCTTTAGACATATGGCATGTGGCACATGGCATATAAAGGGTTTAAGTTTCACTTCATGGTTATTCTATAATAAATCACTATAGAATTAAGAGTGAAAACTACATGCTAAACCCTAGTCTTAACCTTAAGTTAATTTGGAAGTATTACTAAAAAGTTCCTTTAAAACTGATTTCTAAACTTCACTATCTCTACTATACTTTTGGAACCTCATTTATCCCTATTTATCCCCTAAAGTTCCAAGGATTCACAATAACAGTATATCCAAATTTCATTCCATAATCACATGCACTACATAATAGCAAACATGGACTAAATAAAATGTAAGCTCCTGAGTTTAGACTTCCCGGGAGGTCACCCAACCCAATACTATTCAAACCCAATGACACTTTAACTCCAACTATCCCAAGACCCTTAACCGTTTGGAAAAGGGGGTGCACTCTTGTTCATGGGCCCTTTCCCTCTATATTTGAACCCCATGGATCGTCTCTCGAGTCGTTCTCTTTGGTTGCTTACATAAAACTAACAATTGGAAGAAGAAACAACTAAAATAGAGTGAGGATTTAGAGGCAACAATTAGTGGAAGGAAAAAGAGGGAGGTGTCATAATGACAACTTCAAGGACTCCACAATATAATTCATCTAAAACACTTATTGTAAGGAACCAACTCGCCGAGGTGTCGTAGGCTAAGGGAACCCCGAAAACATGACCAAAATGACAAAGAGTTCATCGGATGGGACCAAGTCAAAGATCGAGTCCAAAGACCGACTCTAGGACCGAGTTCGAGATAGAGTCCGGAATCGAGTCCAAGACCGACTCGGGGACCGAGTTCGAGTCCGAGTTCGAGACCGAGTTCGAGACGGAGTCCGAGATCCGAAATCGGGTCCGAGACCGAGTCCGAAGTCGAGTCCGAGGTCGGGCCCGAGATCGGGTCCGAGATCGAGTCCGCGATCGAGTCCGAGACCGAATCTGAAGTCGGATCCGAAATCGGATCCGAGATCGAGCCAGAGACTAAGTCCAAATACTAATACGGGTCAAGGGGTGAAAGCCCAAAGCGTGCGTCCCTCAGGGGGGGGGGGCTGCAGGGGGTTCCAAAAGTATAGTAGGGATAGTGAGGTCCAGGAACCAGTTTTGAAGGGACTCTCCAGTTGGGCTTCCAAACCGACTTGAGGTTGGGACTGGGACTAAGGGGCCTTGGGTGGGAGTGAGCATGGACTTGGCTGGTGCCAGAGGGGCCATCCAAGGAAGTGCTCAAGAGCAGCTCCCACTCCCGAAAGGGAAACCGATTGCGGTGCTCCCGGCTCATGTGGAGTGGTGCCCCACTTGAGTACCATGCGGCTCATTGGTCCTCGCCCTGCCAAGGGGCTTGGGCCTTCCTTCGGGATGGAAATGGGGGGCGAGAGGTACCCATACCGGGCCGTTAGGCCACGGTGTTTCGCCCCGGCGTCCCGAAGCAAGTGTTGCACTCAAGACTTGGGATTTAGAGGGTCCCATGATCAAGTCTTGTGGTACCAAGGGATGTTAGGAACCTGGAAGCTTGGTGTGCTTGGCTGCTTGTGCTTGCGGGGAGTGTAGCCGAACCTTAAGTCCAGTCTAACCCGGGGAGGGGGATTGAGAGTGATTTGGGAATCCGTGGAAGGATGGCTAACACTCCGTTGCTCGTGCAGTGAGTAGCTGAAACCAAGTAGGAGCTGGTACCATAGGCGAGAACCTTGGCAAGGGAACTTAGCAAAAGCCAAGGCAGTGTTGGACGGATAGACGAGGTAAGCTGGCAAATGGGAAAGGAAAAATTTG